TTCGGCAGCGTACTGGACAATCAACTCATTCTTCAAAAATCATTTTACTTTGAGGCCAGGCATAGTGGCGATCACCTTTAACCCCAGTTCCCAGGAAGCAGAGACAGGTGGATCTCTGTGAGTTCAAGGCCAGCCCGTTTTACACAGTGAGTTCCAGGACAGCTAGAACTATATAGAAGAGAGACCCTGCCTCAAAAGAGAAACAGCAACAAACATTTGTTTTTCTTTGGAAAAGTGCTTTTTACAAAAGGCAACTGCAAAATGCAGAGCCTTCTGTAATGATGACTTGTTCCTTCCTGAGTAGAAGAATGAGTGGGTTCTGGGGAATTGAGGCAGAGGGAGAAATCAAGAACATCACCCAAGTTATTGTCAGGAAACAGAGCAACAAAACACATTTCTCATCAAGAAATTCTAGCAGCTTGGCATTTGCTTATCTGTGTGTGGGCTGCCATGGCCTCTTTTAGGTAGAAAGTAATTTATTGCTGCAAAAAGATTGTTCTACCTCAGTGAGGACCGCAGAACAGTTTTGAATCTGTCTTTCTACCTGCAAAGCTCGGGGGTGGAACAAGGGAGATACTCACAAGCAAACACAAAAATCGGACCCCAGAAATCCTCAAAAGAGGACAAAGGTCTTTCCACAAGACCTGGATGAAAAGGCTGGCACATACAACGTCAACGACAACGGAGCACTCAAGGTTCATGTTGGTTGATGGGGTCACAGGTCATTTTACCTCCATGGTAAATCCCATTTCTCTAGCTTACTAACGGACAACCTAGCACTGCTGTACCAATGACTTATACTCTGCTTGGTCCTTTAAGATCTACCTGCAGCTGGGCAGTGGTGGTGCATGCCCTTTAATCCCAACACTGGGGAGGCAGAGGCAGGTGGATCTCTGAGTTTGAGGCCAGCCTGGTCTACAGAGTGAATTCCAGGACAGCCGGGGCTACACAGAGAATCCTGTCTCAACCCCAGCCCCACACCCTCTCCAATGCCACAAGAGGCTGGAACCACTACATTTTGGACAATGAATTTTTAGAGAGGGTGGATTCATTTTGGCTTCCAGTTCCAGTCCATGGATGAATGGTTCCATCCATCCTAGGCCCCGATGCCAATGTAGCAGCATGTAGGGGTGGGGAGTGTGTGGCACAGCTTGGCTATCCAACTCATGCCCAGGATGCAAAAGACAGGAGGAAGGAGCTGGGCCCTACTCTCCCCTTCAGAGCATGGTCACCTGAAGCTCGCCCTCTAGGCTCCACCTACTAAGGCTGCATGGCTTCCTAGTGGTGCTCAGCTGGGACCAGGCCTCTTACACCTGGGCCTGAGGTACACTTAGGGTCCAGGTACAGAGCTGGCCCTGACAGAGGGGTCAGTAAGCAGATCGACAGGTGGGCAACCTGGGACCAACACTCACCCCTGATTTTCAAAAAGAAAATGGGTAGCCACCTAGCAACTTCAACAAATGGCACTGGTACCACAGGGCTCCCCACACTCCAAAGGGAATGCAGATGGGCTACGTTTCCCTAAAATTGTGACACTTCTGGGGAGGTGGCGATGCTTTCTTCCATGGCAGAACTTGGCTCATACTGGTTAGAATTCACCAGGAGCATCAGATGCATGCTGAGTGTCCACACATTTCTTTCTTTCATCTGTGCATGTGTGTGTATACATGTGTGCACATGTGCATGCATGCTCATTCTCTCTCTCTCTCTCTCTCTCTCTCTCTCTCTCTCTCTCTCTCACACACACACACACACACACACACACA